TATATATATATATATATATATATATATATATATATTAGCTGGGTGTGGTGGTACACACCTGTAGGCTGAGGTGGAAGGATTGCCTGAACCTAGGAGGTTGAGTTTGTGGTGAGCTATGATCATGCCACTACATTTTAGCCTGGATCAACAGATGAGACAGACACCTACTCAAAAAAAAAAAAAAAAAGAGTAATAATGACAAGTATGGATTCTAGACCCATACTACACAGGTTCAAATCCTGGTTTCGCTAATTACCAACCAGCTGTGGAATTTTGGGACAAATTACTCACTTCTTTGTGCTTTTTTTTTTTATTTTTATTTTTTAAGTCCAGTTCTTACTCTGTTGGCCAGACTGAAGAGAAGTGGCATGATCACAACAATCACAGCTTACAGCAGGCGATCCTTCTGCCTCAACTGGGACTACAGGTGCAAGCCACCACGCCCGGTTAATCTTTTTTTTTTGTAAAGACGAGGTTTCACTATGTTGACCAGGCTGGTCTCAAACTCCTGGACTCAGGAAATCCTCCTGCTTTAGCACCCCAAGTTTCTGGGATTACAGGCATGAGCCACTCACTCAGACTCTTTGTGCTTTAATTTCTTTATCTGGAAAATGAGTATGGTAATAACACCTGTCTTACAGGATTATTATGAGGATAAAAATACATCAATATTTATAAAGTGTCTAGGACAGTGTCTGGAAAATAAAAGTACTATATAAAATATTTTTCTTACGTTCACTTAAAAACATGGATGATAACTGGATTCTGCATCAGGATGCAAGCCTACCATGCTGGCTTCCAGACAAGGGCTTTGTTCCTTTTTTTCCCTAACCCCTCCTGCTCTTGGTGACACCGTTAGAATTTTAGACTGGTAGAATCATCATCTAGTCCTACCTCCAGCCCAATGCAGGAATCACAAGGCTACTGGCTGCCTTCTGACCAAGAATTCTTCAGGCTGACTGCACATTCAGGAAGTCTGAGTTTCTCAACTACAGAAGGCTGAAGATGTCTGGCTGTGAGGTGACGGTGAGGTTTCCCAGGGATTGGGAAGCGAAGTTTCTGTGCTTAACGCATGCATCGCTAGGTCCTTCAGTTGCTTCTACCATGACACCTACCATGGATGTTGGCCTCTCCTAGAATGATGGCCTCTCGGACATAAACTCCAGTGATTGGGTCTCCTGGGAACTGGCAACTCCTCTTTCTTGCCACTAGGGAACCAAATTAGGGATAGATGTAGGATAGGCCTCTCTCTCTTAGGAACTGGCAGATCCCGTGCTAACACCTGAATGAACTCTGGGCTCTTTTTTATTTAATCCCACTGCAGGATAGGAGGGGAATTAAGTTCAATCTTCTCATAGCATGTTTTAAACAAAATAGAAAGAATTCAACAGTGTCTGATTCCCAGGAATTCTTGGCTAGAAGTTGTCTTCATTTCAGACTTAGCATGAGTCTTGTCCTAATTGAGCAGCAGGTTGCTTTGCTCACTTAACAGTATTGTTACATAAACAAGCAAGAGATCTGTTTGCTACAAGCAGAGTCAAAATTTCCATTTGAATTTCAGCTAATCAGGATATAAGGACTGATTCAGTCTTTGGATTTTTAAATCTCCTGAGCCTTGCAGCTGTGTTTTCCCTCTTTCCACTAAATGCTGTAGTTTAAGATTTAGGGAATTATGCAAAACACAGTGGCAGTGCTAGAGCTTAAATGGGGTAGTCTCCCCAGCTCAGTAATGTCGAGTGATGCGCCTTCTCCCTTTTATGCTGACGGAAGGGGAGAGAGGCTCTTAAAATGATTCAGTCTGCAAGAGACAGTCTCCAGGAGTCTATAGGAGTAAGGGGGCTTCACACACTGCCCAGTCCTCTTAGTTTCAGGACTATGTTTTTTCTTAACATAACTTTGAGAATTAAGAGTAAAATTATGCCAATGTCACATTTTTGTGTGCATTTATAGATACATGTGATATGTGAAGTTGTGTTTCTAGGTCTGGCAATTGCACTGCAAAACCATCCCCAGCTCATAGCCCAACCAGTCTTTCAAAATACTACTGTGGTGCACTTAAAATCTGCAACTTTGCAAGGCTGCACCCTCAGTGTGCCTTCTTTAATTTGCATATTTGTGTACAAGAACACAAACCGTTCATATAGGATTTTAGCCTGTTTTAAATGCTAAAAAGTTCCCCACGATTTGCTTTACTTAAGACGCACACTCAAAACTTTATTAAAAACATTTTCAAAAATAGTTTCATAAAGCTAGACATCAGCAAGCCTTGATCGAGGGGTGGAAAATGAATTGTGTATCTTTAAACCGCAGAAGTTAAAAGGCTTTTTTTTTTGTTAGCTAACAATGGAAACTTTTTTTTTTTTAAAGTGTTTCCCTCTCTCGGTCTTGCCAAGCAATAGAAAAAAAAAAAAAAGAAGAAAAGAAAAACTTGTTCCGCTGAGTTCAACCCCAGACAGGCTCACAACTTCCTTCCTGCTTTCCTCCCCCAAGCCTCCGCCTTTCTCCCTCCTCCCCCCCCCCCCCCATTTTTTTTTTTTTAAACCGTACATTGAACAAACACTGAAGTAGCCCAGAACAGACACTGACAGGGCCAGTATCTCAAGAGCCGAGAAGGGCGTGCAGGGCCGGCTCGGCGTCGCCGCTGTCCGGGTCGCCGGCCCCTGCACCGAGGAGCTTTTCTCCCTCCCCCTTTTTTGGGGGTTTCCTATAGCCTGTTGAGAATATTTCTGAGCATTTTTACTTTTAAAGCCATCTCGTCCCTACGAGGTCTGCGTCTCTGGGAATGTAGTCTGCACAAGACCCGGGAATCTGAGAAGTTGCAGGTAAGTTTGGCGGCTTTTTAATGGCTCTCGCCTTTGATCCCTCTTTCCGCGCACTCTCCGCTCCGGAGCGAATCTGGGCGTTCCGGCTTCTGAAACCGCGCAGAGGGGTGGGCTTGGGGGACGGAGAAGGGGTTTGATGTTGGAGGGTGGCTGGAAGGGGAGGCGGGTGGGGGGAGAGGAGGGAGAGACCAGTTCTCGGCATTTCTCCAGCCCGCCTTCCGGGCCGCTCGCTCCGCGCCGCCTCCCCGGCGCGCTGCAGGAGTCGCCGGGCTCCGGCCGCGGGGCGGCTCCGCTGGCGCCGGGCGAGGCAGCGGGGATGCGGAGAAGCCCTGCACGCGGAGAGGCGGCCCCGGGGGGGCTTGCAGAGCCCCCGGCTCTGTGCACCTAGGATTGCTGCCCAGCTGCAGCCATGCGCGTCCTGGAGTCATTCCTCTGGTGGGCGCGGGTCCCGGAGCCCGCAGGGACAGCCGCGTCCTCCGCAACGGGCCGAGCGAGGGCTGACTCGCCCCGTGCATGCACACACGTGCGTACACACACGCGCGCGCGCACACACGCACACACACACACACGCCCCTCTGTAGGGGGGCGACGGCAGGGGGCCGCGAGTATTGGTTCCGGTACCGGAGACCCGCAGAACCTCGGCCCCGGGCACGCGCAGGCGCGCCCACACTCACAAAACACGCTTATCTAGGGACAGACGACAAGGCCAGTGCCGAAAAAGGCTGCAGCGGCGGCCCCGCCGCCCGCCCGGGCCTTGGTAGGCCGAGAGACACAGTCCCCAGGCCGGGGTCAGGAAGGCGCACGGCGGGCACGCAGGCGCCCGCCCAGATCCGGGCGCTGGCGGCGGTCTGGGGGAGGCAGATCCAGCTCAAGTTCCCCCCGAGTCGATCTCCGATTCCCCGAGAGGGTGAAGCACGGAGACTGAATTCCAAGGCTGGGGCTGCCGGGTCACCCTCCACAGCCCCTGCGCGCTCAGGCTGAGGAGCCCCGGAGACGGTGGCAGGGGCGGTCTCCCCCGGGAGAGATGGGC